AAACTGGAAATGGTGCTAATGGCTCAAGTGGTAGAGCTTTAGCCTTGAGCTGAGAACTCAGGGACAGCACCCAGGCCCTGAGTTGAAGTCCCATGACCTACAAAAATAAAAAAAAGATGGTCACTATAACATTCAAAAGCCGACATCCAGGCACCTTTTGTTGTTATTTTTTTTTAATATCGGTTGTCGGAACTCTGGGCCTGGGCACTGTTCCTCAGCTCTTCAGCTCAAGGCTAGTGCTCTACCACTCGAGCCACAAGCCACTTCTGGCTTTTTCTGCTTGTTTGGTGCTGAGGATTTGAACCCAGGGCCTCATGCATGTAAGACAAGCACTCTACCACTGAGCCACCTTCCCAGCCCCTTGTTGGTTACTTTTAAGGTAGGGTATTGCTTTATGTCCTGGCTGAAGTGGGCTGCAGTCCTACTTATGCTTTCCCATGTTGTAGGGATTACAGGTACACACTACTTTGACCAGCCATTGAGCTTCCTTTTGGTTGGGTAAGAAGGATGTAGTACCATATAGCCATTAACTGAGATGAAATCCAGAAGACTTTTATGATTGGGCTGTCCTGTTTCTAAACAACCAAGTCTTTAGTCTTCATTTCATTAATTTCTGCCAATTTTATTATTTCTGTCTCCTGCTTCTGGGTTTGGGTTATCTATTGGTTAGATTGGGATTTTAAAGGCACCTACTCTTATTGTACTTTGATCTGCACTTTCATGTTGTGTTTGTCGTATGAAATTAGGTATGATGATGTTTTATCATAAAAATTTGTAATTGTTATCTTCTGTTCATAGATTGTTTTCCTTTTAAATTTATTGTGTTATCTTTAAATAGTGGTACAAAGGAGCTTCAACATTTAATACATCTTGATTAGTGGATTGTTCTTGTTAGCACTGTGAAATGCCCTTCTATTGACTAATCCTAATTAGTCAAACCTAATTTGTAAGACTGCTTTTCCAGATGTAAGAATTGCTACTTGTACTTGCATTTGAAGTCCTTTTGTTTGGAAAATGTTTTCCCATACATTTGCTTTAAGCCTATGTTTTATATTTTGTTTTGTTTTCATTCCCAGTGATGTGTCTATTTTTATAGGTTAAAGTGTTTGGTTCTTGTTTTTGAATCCAATTTTTGATCCAATCTGACAAAATATGTTTATGGTTGTAGAATTGGGGCTATTAACAGTCAGAGATTTTGTAATACGTATGATTCAGAGTTGTATATATAATATATATTTTGTTTTATTCAGTTATTGATATACATAAAATAATTCCTGTATAATTCCTTCCTGTATTTTCATGTTTGCATTTTCCTTCTTTTGTCATAACAATTCCTCTAATTTGCTTTTGCAACACTGGCTTACTAGTTGTGAATTCCTTTAGTTATCATGGAAGGCTATTGCTTCTTCTTCAGTTGTGAAGTATAGTAATCTGAGTTGGAAGTTCCTTTTATCCACAATTTAAATTACACTATTGCGTGCTCTTTATGTTTTTATATCCTGTTATTCTGTTTTAATAGGTGACTTGGTGCTTTTTTCTTGGAAGCTTTCAACATACATTTCTAGTCTTGTACATTTAATGTTCTATCTATAGTTAACCTTACATAGTTTCTTTTCCTGATCTTTTTTGTTTTGGTCTTATATTAGCCTTCTATATTTGAGGACTATTATATTCTCCTGGACTTGGGAAGTTTTCTGCTATTATTTTTTGAATGTGTCCTGCCTAGTTTGGTACGAACTGCGATCCTTAGATCTCATCTTGAGTCATTAAGATTAGAGGTATGAGCCACTGACACCCAGCCCTATTACTGTTTCTTAACTTTACAAAGTGATATAGTCACAGAAGTTTGAGGAAGTTTGTGCAAGAAGCATCATATTTAGACCTAGAAAATTCTAAGTGTTTTGGAACATGCCTGTAATGCCAGAACTGAGGCTGAGACAGGAAGACTGTGTGACAAGACCAAAACAAAACAAAAAACACTGACTTCCATAAATCAGGGAGGCCAAATGCATCTGAATGAAATCAGTGCTCCTCAATGGAGTTTGGAATCACAAGTCTGTTTCTCTAGTCCTTATGATAGAGAGAATATTATTCAGTTGAGTTATGTAGTGAGCTGATAGCAAATGTGAGGCCTTGTGTATAGGGAGCATTTGGAAAGAGTGCCTGGTAGTGCTATGGAGTTATTAGCACCAGACAAAGGAAAATTGTTTTGAGCTTCATCAAAGAGATGCAGTTCCAGTCATCCGTTAGGGGTTAGTTAAATGAATGTTTGACCAAATATAGTCTAAATTTTAAGTTGATAGTTTTATATAGTCAGCCAGTTAACCTCCACCTTACAAGAAGCCTTACAATCAATGTCTTCCTAACTTTACCTTGTGTAAACTACTGGGATAAGACAGAGTATCTATCAAGTTTTCTGACTAAAGAAGTTATTTCCAAAAAAAATGAAGTTATCTTGGAGTCACTCCAAAAATCACAGAAAATTAACTCATAGATGATAAAAGTTTACCATGTGTTTTCACTAGAGACAACTATCTTTTCATCTGATGACTTATCAACACGGACTATCTGCATAGATTAATTTTAATTGACGGTGTAATTTTGTCCCTCACCTCCATCCCACGCTATTATGTAATCTTCAGGCTCATTCAGTTGTCCTCCAAATCATTCTCTACTCTTAAAAAATTGCCTACAACATCCTCTTCCATTACTCCTTTCCCTGGGAAGAGTTTTTGTTTTGATAATGTGGCCCTTCTTTTAGTTGTCATATTTTCTATACACTATTAAATGTGTATACCTCTTTTTCCTGTTAATTTGTCCATTATTGGTTTATTTCACCAGACTTAAAGACCAGTCTTTGGAGGGAGAAGTTGAAGTCCTGTCATCCCTATAGTAAGCCAAGAGGATTAAAAGCAAAGGAACAATATACAAATATAAATAAGAATAAATAATTATGAATGAGAAAATTTTAAATTTAAAAAGAAAACTTGTCTTTGGTGATTCATTCCTATATTTCTAGTTACTCAGATGGCTAAGACCCGAATAAGCAAGATTCAAAGCCAGCATGGGCAGAAAAGTTTAAGGGACTCTATATGCAATTAAGCAGCAAAAAACCTGGATAGCTTGATGGCATAAGTGATAGAGGAGTAGCAGCAAGCCAAAAAAGTGAAAGGATTCTGAATTGAGGCCCAGAGGGGGAAAATGCAGGGAGAAGAAACTCCTAAGACTGAATCAGTAAACTTTTATGGATATGAAAATTAATACATTTAAAACTTAAAATATTAAAAATAAATCTGTAATATGAAGCATTTGCTTGTATATCTATCATCTGAAACAAATCTAAATGTAGATTTCTAATTAGGCCCTCTTGGCATACTTCCGAAATCCTGAGGTCCTTGAAGGGTAAAAGAATAAAAAATAGATTTTATTCTTTATTTCTTTACCTGTCCTGGGCCAATCTGCTTAAGTATTCTTTGTAAAGCTGATGAACGTTAGAAGTGTTTTAGCAGACAACTACAAATAAACTTGTTTAACCAGTTTACCAGTAGACCTTGCACATGCCTAGGAATAAAAAAGCAACAAATAAACTAATTTAATAGTTAATATTTGGCACTTATTTATTAGATTTTTTTCAGCTATTGTTAGCACTTCCTGCTCTTTGTATGTGGAACTATTATCTTATTTTTAAGAATAAATATTTCACTCAGGACTATAGGAGAAATTTAAATGACTAGAACAGATGGATTGTATTTGCATATTATTTCTATATTGCTGAAAGAGTGTTGTAAATGAATTCAGCACCATGGTGTTAAGGGACTAGAAAAAGAAACTTGGGAACTGTTAGATTATTATCAAGGTAAAGGTACTTATTCCCTGGATGGCAAATTCTACCTATTCTAGCTTTTATTATCCTTAGGATAGTGTTCTATTTATTTCATGAGTACAGAAGTTTTAATTGGATATGTCATGTTTCAAAGACAAAAGAAATGCCTAATTCACTCTAACAAACTTGTTAGTCACTGTTTATACCGAGAGGATTTCTACTCTACAGAGAATAATATTGTTTTCTTTTTTCTTTGTTGATAAATCAAAGTTTTACACTGACCTACAGCAGTCAGGCATACTTTAAAGTAAAATTATCTGAAGCTAACACAGATACATATCGTTTTAGTTTTCTTTTTTCTTCCTTTTTAAAAGAAATATTCTATTTCAAAAATAGTAAGAATATGTTAAATTGTTACTATTTTTCTGATAAATGTTATTTATGGGTTTTAGTAATTTAGATATAATTTCATAATCTAACCGAAAATTTTAGGAGTTTTCTCTCTTATTCTTGGTAAATCACTTGTAATTTTTTTTCACCAAAAAGCTTTTGGTAGTCAGTTATATAGCCAATGTTGGAATATTGTAGGTACTTTACCCATATACTCAAGTTTTTATTTGTTATGAAATCACAGTTCTTCTTGAAATGTGATTTTTATGGTTTACCCTGCTCTGTGCATGACCTTTGACTTGAACAAAAGATTTTGGTGATGGCATTGAGATGGTGGGGGTACAATTTCAATACATCTTAATTCTGTTACTGTTTGCTTTGTTCCACAATCACTCTGATCCTCCTGGCAGGGAAGAAGATCCTGAGAACAAAACTAGTAGTGACTGTATAGATAAAAAGGCAATGAATTTCGCTTTTAAGGCAAAGGAGGAACAGTCTACAAAAGAACGAAAATGGGAATAAAAGTAAAGTATTGTTAACCTGCAGATCTATTATACTTTTGAAAATGTTAGCGTTGCAGAAAAAGAGTCACTCTACAAAGATACATAATTATGTGACTGAAAATCTTGTAAGAGGTAACCATTTAGTTCCTGGCAAGGCACATAGAAGAAAACAGACCAGATTATTCATAAGTGAAAAAACACAAAAATCTTTCCATTAAAATGATAGGAAAGACAGTCTTTTACCAGTACACAAAGAACTATAATATATTATTTTTCTCTGCCAGAACAACTGTGTAGATACCATGAAGATGATGAGGTCAACAAGAGTACTCCAGAGAAGAATGAGAAAGAAATGTCGGAGCAGACATTACAGAAGGTAGTCTAATCTTTAAGATATTGAGCTAAGCAAGTTAAATCTGACTTTTAACATAAAGGATTATGTTTTAAAATGAGAGCTCATGAACTTAAACTTTATGTGGTTTCTTAATTTAAATTCATAATTCAAAATCATTGGCTTGCCATAATGGGGTAAAAAAATCAATGTTAGTGATATAAATGTGTAAACACTTGTGCTTCTGTTGACATAGTTTAAAAACATTTTCAGAGTGAAATGAAGAGAATGAATATAATAGAAATTAAAAAATTTAAACTGTGTGCTTATTAGTTATAACAGGGCAGTTTAAATTTAAAATAGGTCATAAGACTGCTACACTGCAAAATACATACAGATAGACAGTTTTGGAACTGAAAACTAAGTACTAATTACAGTGCTACCACAGTAAAATAGTAATATTTATAATTTTACACTTGGAAATATCCTTGTCTTATTAGATAAAAAGTTTTATTAAGACCATTAATATAAAAATACCACATGACTATCATTAATAGTAAAATAATGTTTTGAAATTTTAACATTTCAGATCCAGGAATGAGATACTGGAAAAAATATCCAGACATTTGCCCTTAAAATTTATACTTAACTCACAGTTTTGTGTATAAATGTATTGCTATTGAGCTTAATAAAATGGACTCAATTATATTAACAACTTTTGGTTGGACTCAATTATATTAACTTTTGGTATTGTTATAAAGAAAATCTTTCACTACTTTAATCTTATAACTGTCATCTGGTTGTGGCTGGTTGTGTTTTAAAATAAAATTTTAGTACTTAAAGCTGGAAATACATACACACACCAATCTCTACTACTGTAGCTATGTATATATGTATTTCTGCATCTGTGAGTTGACTTACAGTAGATTTACAGTAGATTTACATTTACAGTAGATGATGTGATTTCCTAACCCTTGCTGTATGGTCGAGTAACAAACTGCCATCTTTTTATTACAGAATTACACATACTAAATTAACATAATGGCAATAGAAAAATGTTTACATTATTTTAAAGTAAAATGAAAGATTGAACTATTCCAATTATTATCAGCTAGGATGTCATGATGCTGATTACTAGCTTATAATCTTGGTTTTAAAACAATATTTTTGTCAGGTTTTGTATAATTTTTTTGTGTTTATGTAGAATAAGTTTCTATTATTGCCCTGTAGAAATCCTAAAGGAATGTATGATGTCACTCTCACTACCATAAATTAATACTAACATCATGTATTTAAAAACCATTTCAAGGTTTAGAAAACAAACAGGAATTAGTTTCATTGGACCATATGTCACATTTGCATACTAATTTGTCACTATTTTAAAAAAATTATCTCATGAAGTTCTATGAGCTATGATTTTAATCCTCATGATTGAATTTTATTATTCTAAAAAGATGTACATGAAACACATTCAAAAGGATTTGAAAAATAGTAATAAGCTGGGCACCTATGGTTTGTGCCTGTAAGAGTACTCAGGAGGCTAAGAGCAGAAGGATGAAGGCCAGTGTGTGGGTGGGAGTGGAGGGTGGGGGTAGCTTGAGAGACCTAGTCTTAAAAATTGCCAACAAAAAAATAGGACTGAAGTGATCAGGGTCAAGTGGTTGAGTATCATCCTTGCAAGTAGGAAGCCCTGAGTTCAAGCCCAAGTAACTCCCTTACCTTCCAAAAAGATGAAAACTTTATGTTAGAAATGAAACATATGAGTAAATTAATTTTAAAATAATGCAGTATAATTTCACACTGTTACTGGCTAAATTACATTCACTGATATTTGATGACCTTCTGTATGCACTTTGTCTAGAAACAGTAAAGAAGTAATTAAGATAGGTTTGTTAGTTTAGACTCTTAATTTCAAGATGCTAGTGTCCTTATAAGAAAAGGAAATAAGAACATTGAGAATATGGAGAGAGACCATGTGGCACAGGCAAAGTTTGCCATGTATGTTGCAATGGAGGAGCATCTAAAGAAACCAATCCTACAGCTCACACACTAATTGGAGAGCTTCTTGAAGTCAAAATTATGATAGCAAATTCCTGTTGTTTTAGTCATGTACTCTCCATATTTTTTTATGGCAATCCTAGTAAACAAATATACACACTAACAATGATGCTTTATTTTCATTTGAAAGATGGATAATCTTTCAATGTGTTTTGGATAAGTTATTTTAAATATTCAGTATTGAGAGAAAACATGGGCTTTCTTTTTTAAAAATTTTATTGTCAAGGTGATATCCAGATTCAGCTGGTTTAAAACACATGAACCAAATGCCTTTGACAGTATTTCAGATTTTCATTTTTAAAATCAGGCTAACAATTTTTTTTTAGAAAGTGAGATTTTTATTTTTTTTAATTTTATTTATTATTTTTTGGTTGGTTGTGGGGCTTGAACTCTAGGCTTGGGCGCTGTCCCTCAGCTCTTCAGCTCAAGGCGAGTGCTCTACCACTTGAGCCACAGCGCCACTTCCAACAATTTTTAAGTATATACTTTGGATTCTTTAATAATGTAATCATTTGATGAGTCCATGTCAGAAAAAGACATTTAATCCCTAATTTCCTGTTCAGTCACCAGATGTGTTATCAGAAAGTTTAGGGCAACTAAACAGCCTTCATCCTTGCATCTGTCAAGAGAAGAATTCAGTCAAGAAATAAACACAGTGAAAGAGATTGGAGAGTTTATTAGAAAAGGACTATAATATAAAAAGAGACATGCCGTGGGAAAGATGGCAATTCTGCCCAACTCTACCATGTTAACTATCTTCCTTATTGCAGGTATTGATCTTGTGTTAAATAGTGAAAATTGGAGTCCTTGAAGATGACTTTCTGATTGGTAGATCTTTCTGTTTCCTATAAGGTTGTGATACCAAAGATTTATTAGTCTGTCCTTATTTCCTCATTCTTTTGTCCTTGTTCTTTATTCTTTTTTCTATTGTTCTTTTTTTGTGCTGGTCCTAGGCTTGTACTGGGCAATGTCCTTGAGCTTTTTTTGCTCAAGGTTAACACTCTACTACTTAAGCCATAGCTCCACTTAGAACTCTTCGATAGTTAAGAATTTCAGTGGACTTTCCTGCTTGAGTTGGCTTTGAACTTCAATCCTTAGATACCAGCCTCCTGCGCATCTAGGATTATAGGTATCATTAGCCACCAGCACCAAACTTGCTTTTGTAGATTCCTGCCCCCCATATAAGGTAGGTTTTGGTTTATCAGAGTATCTTGCTATTTCTAAGTTCTCTAAGCTAAAATTTCATAACTGGATTTTTTTTTACTAACATATCAATAATAAGTGCTATGAATTTTATCTGTTCAAAGTCTTTAGGAGTAATGTTTTGTTATCTGGTTTTTAAACAAACATAGATAATGTTGTTCAACTATTATACTTTCATAAAGCAATTAACAGACTTTAAAAACATTTTTAGTTGGTTTAGAAGCACAAAAATGTAATGATTTTTCTGCCCTATCATAGGAGTAGTGTCTGATGCTTCTATAACAACCACGAAAAGGTTAAAAAGGGAAAAAGCATAATAAATTTACTTAAAGTTTGACAAAACACTTGAGGCTTCAGAACCAAAACATCCCAGAAAAACTGTCCAGTTTCATGGTTTTCTTTTTAGGTTTTATGAACAAAGGATGGCTGTTCCAAAGTGTAAGAACAAATATACCTAGGGGATTACCATGAAGACCTGTTTACTCATTCGTTTTCAGAGCCTCAGTGTATAGGATTTTTTCTTTTACTCTAGGCATGGAGTGAGGTCAGTGTCTGGAAAGATTCCTTCCTTCCTTCCTTCCTTCCTTCCTTCCTTCCTTCCTTCCTTCCTTCCTTCCTTCCTTCCTTCCTTCCTTCCTTCCTTCCTTCCTCCCTCCCTCCCTCCCTTCCTTCCTTCTTTCCTTCCTTCCTTTTTGAGGTAATGGAGATTGAACTCAGGGTTATAGGTAAGCACGTTCCCATTTTATTCATACAAGCCTTTTTGCTTTTATCTGGAATTGCCATAGATATTAATTCTCTTAACTAAGGCCTCATACATAGCTGGGATTGAAGTGTGTTTAACCACACTTAACTTATTGATTGATTCAGCAATAATGTCTTCACTAACTTTTTTCCAGAGCCAGCATTGAACTGTGATCCTCCAATGTCTTTCTCTCCCTTTTCCATCAGTCTTTCTTTCTCTCTCACTTTCTTTGTGACTTTGACTTTGTCTATCTTTCTGTAGATCTCTCCTTTTCTCCCTCCCTTCCCCCCTCTTCTTTCTCTTCTACCTCCCTCTCCTTTCCTCTCTGTCTTCCCTTTGTCTCTTTTCTTTCCTCTGTCTGTCTGTCTGTCTGTCTGTCCATCCATTGGTCCATTTGTCCATCTGTCTATCTGTCTGCCTGCCTGCCTGCCTACCTGTCTCTTTGTCTCTATGCCTCCATCTCTCTCTCTCTCTCCTCTCTCTTTTCTTTCTCTCCTGCCATAACTCAGGGTCTCACTCTCTGTTGACATTTTTGCTCATGACTGGCCCTCTACCTCTTGAACAACATCTCAGTTCTGTTTTTATTTTTATTTTTTCTGGTTAATTGAAGATAAGTCTCAAAGATTTTTCTCCTCAGGAAGGTTTCCAGCAGACATTCTCAGATCTCAGCCTCCTGAGAAGGTAAGATTATAGGCATGAGCCACCTGAGTCAACTTCTTCCTTCTCTTGAGTAGCTTGGATTACAGGTATAAACCCCTGTGCCCAATCTTAGAATGAGGATTTTTCAAGGGCAAACAAATAAGAAAATGAGCCAGATGCCGGTGGCTAACGCCTGTAATTCTAGCTACTCAGGAGGCTGAGATCTGAGGATCATGGTTCAAAGCCAGCCTGGCAGGAAAGTCTCCAATAAACCACTAGAAAACTGGAAGTGGAGTTGTAGCTCAAGTGGTAGTGCTGAAGAGTGCAGGAACAGTGCCCAAGCACAGAGTTCAAGCTCCACGACCGACGAAAGGAAGGAAGGAAGGAAGGAAGGAAGGAAGGGAAGGAAGGGAAGGAAGATCATTTTAGGAATTATGTCTTGGTTTTGGGAACTGATAACCTGCCTTGGAAAAGGAAAGTTCTTGTTTCCATGACTTGCTTTGGGAAAGGAAGTATTAATAGGAGATGTGAGGGCAGAAGATTCCCTTCCAGTGCCTTTCAATGTACCCATGTTTCATTGGAGACTTATGCACCCCAAATACTTTGGGGTATTGGGTTCTGAGCACCAATATTTAAACATTTCAGGATTTATCTGCAAACATAAATACAGTTTAATCAAAAGAAAAAAATATGCTAGCTTCGAGGATTAAAATCTAAAATTCAGATGTTTATTTGCTTATAGTTTTATTTTAAATCTATAAAATTGGTTTAATGGGTATTTCACTATGTTTAATAGAAGTAATTATATTTTAGTTCTTTAAGTAATTGTCTTAGGTAATTGTTAAGAGTAATAATAATAGAAATAATAATGATAATGATGAAGGTGTTAAATTGGTTAGCACTTACTGTCTGCCAAGATTAGTTATTTTCAAACATGTAATACCTTTTACTAGTCTCATTGCACCAATGAGAAAACTAAAAGTAAAACAGGTTAAATATCTTATTGTCTAAAGCAATCAAAGTTAAGAGTGAGATAGAGACCTGACTCAAAATTTTATTTCCCATAAACCACATTACTTCTTTCTGATATTTTTTATGTCACAACTACTAAAATTTTACAAAAGTACAGTTGTTTTCTTGCACAAAATATATAGTTAAAAATACAGCCCAGTTTACTTACTTTACTTGGAATCTCATGCTAAAGTGTTTTATAGATCCATTCACAGAAAGTAAAAAAAATACAGTTAATATTCATTACTATGCATGTAAGTTACTAAAAGTGGGTAATAAAAATTGGAGGTAGATGATTTGAAAAAAGTTAAGAAATGGATTTGAATTTGTTTTAAGCCTGTTTGTTTTTATGGATACTATTTTTTGTCACATTAACCAGCTTTTCAGTAAATTAATAGAATTGAGAAGGAGCCAGAGAATGTCTTTCAAAGAAATACATAAAATTCTATAATCATTGGGTATAAAAATTTTCTCATTAGGTCAGAAATAGGTCCTATAGGGACATAGATCCAATAATAAATAGGTAGGTATATTGTGGTATAGAGGTAAGAAAAATTAGATGAAATTCTTCATATTGTATTGGTTACTCATTCCTTAGTATAGGATTATCCAGTCAGAAAAATGACCATTTAATTAAATAAAACTTGTTTAACTCACAAGAATAGGGGCCATAGAAGTATAGATATATGAAAAATGTACCCGAAACTTATGGTGAGGACACCATAGTCAGTAATGTTCAGTACTCTGGAAAGCGTTAAAGATACATATTTTACCTTGTATATTTCTGGAATATTACTATATGAAATTATTGATTTTCCCCCTTAGGCTTTTCAATGTACTGTAACAAATATATATATATATTGCATATATATATATATATATATATATATATACACACACACACACATACACACACAGAAAGAATTCTTTCTTTAAAGAATTTAGTTTTAAAATAAATAGGAGCCCATAGAGTTTTTAGATTTTTTTGTTTACCTCAATTTTTTTTCTTGACTTTCAGTTCTTTCTTTCTTTACTTTTTTTGGTGATGGTCCTAGGGTTTGAACTCTTTATCTTTTTGCTCAAGGCTGATCTTTTATTTCAGCTGCACCTCCACTTCCTGACTCTCAATTCTTTATTCATAATTCTAGGTAGCCCTTCTTTGTATAATAGTAGCAGAATTCAAATATCTTGAATTTGAATTCTAATCCAGAGGAGGATTAGAATTAGAATATCTATGTATAACCTAAGTTTCAGAATCTCAGTCCTTTTAGTTTTCATTGTTTCTATAAAGATAATTAATGATTTTGTTTACCTCATTTTGGGAGGAAATGATTAGGAGAGATTATGTTAGTGAATCTATGAAAAATTAAAAGAAATATTTCTTTACAAAAGTAACACATATTACTTTCCAAGTTCTATATCTAAATCAATGTCTATGAAATTTTTGTGCCCAGGAATTAGAATTATTCTTTTATTGACATTTAGACTGTTATCATTAGATCTTATCATTTATCAATTTTAAGTATGCAAATATTTATGTTTTTTAACTCCAACTTCCATTTTAAAAATTCTTTAATATCAAGAAGTATGTATTACATTGCTTTTGTCCTATAACATAAACAATATTTATTGAAATAAAAGGAAAAATTTTGCTTTATATACACCAAAAAAGTCTTTATAATTTTAAGTCATTATAGTTTATTTTTGGTAAAACTTTTCATTACATACAAAATAAGGGCCACAAGACTTCTGCAGTTACATTTTTCTAATTACAGAAAAAGCAACTGCTCTTGGTTATTTGCATTTAGTCATCACTTGTTCATATATTTAAGTATTGATGAAAAATGTTATTTACAAGTAGTTTCCTTGTGTTTCTGTTTTTAGATTGTTTCAATGGTTATTCTATAAAAATATTTTGTACAATAAGTAGAATGTATAACCAAACCATTTGAACTAAATTTATTAACATACTTAGTTCTGTGTCACTTTGTGAAGAATTTTTAACTTCTTTTACCATCTGTCCTTTACTCAACAGATGCATTATTGCACTTTAGAATGGATTCATGTATAACACCTTAGAATTATTTAGAAATTAAGTACCTTAGTTTTCTTTCGTCCTTGTACTAAGGGTTATTTTTCACTAGTTAGAAATGATAATAAAAATGCAGAAGATAATGGTCTTGGATTTTAAAAATGTTAATTAAACTCTTTGTTTAGATCATTGAATTGGAAAATCGGCTAAAGTCTTTTGAGAAAAAGTCAAGAAAATTAAAAGAAGGAAATAAAAAATTAATGAAAGAAAATGATTTCTTGAAATCTCACTTAAAACAACATCAAGAAGATGCAGAAAGTAGAGAAAAAGAGCTAGAATTGCTACTAAAAGGGAGTAAAGATGTAGAAAGAGACAAAACTGAACTTCAAGTAAAAATCAATGAGCTGGAGAGAGAAGTCACTTCCCTAAAGAGACAAGTGGCAGAAGCTAACATGTTGAGAAATGAAGAGCTGGTGAATCCAGTGGAGAAATCTCACAGTTCAACAGACAGAGCTAAATCTGAAATGACCACTATGGAACTGAGATCTGGACAGTGTGATTGTAAGACAACCACTACCAAGGTTAAATTTAAAGCAGCAAAGAAAAAGTGCTCTGTGGGTCGTCAACATACTGTTCTCAATCACTCCATCAAGGTTATGAGCAATATGTTTGAGAACCTCAGCAAGGACGGCTGGGAGGATATGAGTGAAAGCAGGTAAGGCTCTCATTAACTTAGCTCTGTGGTGGGGACACTGTGCATATGTAAAGCACTGGCAAATGGAGATTGAATTTCAACTACTGTCGATTTGGTATTCAGAAAAAATACTGTCAGATCCTTTGAAATATCTTGGGAGGTCTTGTTCTGAGCTTATTGACTGAAATTTGCATGCAAAATTAGCCACAACTGCATGAGTATTTGAATAGGTGCCAAGAAGCCCAAAAGAAGGCAATGCTTGATTTCTTCCAGTGATGCTATTTTCATGCAGTCATGAGGCTTGAAATTGACAGTTTGGCAGGTTGATTTAATTTGCTGGCCCTTTGCATATTCACCACTGACAGCTAAGGATTCCCAGGCAAGCCTACTAAGTCAGTTTAGTTATCTTGTGACATGCCAACCTGGGAGGAGAAACATTTTCCCCCCTTAATTTAGTTAGATAAATTTTGAATGACCCATTTCAGCTTGTTACCAGATGTCTACAAGCTGTTTAACATCCTTTAAATTAAGAACCATCTTCACTAATTATTTCATGTATATATTATGCAAAGTCATTGTACTAACTTTAATTGAATAGTAGTCAAAAATTACTTCTTTGGGGTTATATAGATTCCTAGTCTTAAATTATTTAACCCCTAGTGAATAGCAACAGGAGAATAAAAAAAATCCATCCTCTCTCTTACCCCTAGCTATACATTCATATGCACACTTGGAGCACAAAGATACATGATAAGACATCTCTTTTTATTTTTTAGGCAACAGAAAAGTCCACAATTGCTAACAACTTGTCCATTTTTTCATCAAGTTTTAAACTATGCCTTATTTCATAATAATATATATTTCCCTTTTTCTAGTTCTGTTTTGTTTTTAGGCTCTAGCAGTGGTTCTTTATTAGATTTGGGAAGATGATGTATAATTTTCTTAATCAGTGTTTGAAAGATGTGATACTTATGACCATCCTCATAAGGACCATGGCTAGTATTCCTGTAACAATAGAAAAGTCGGTTTGATTTATTTAATCAAACTTTTACAAGGCAAAGGAAGATTCAGATTGAATACTCTAGATTTATGGTCCATTTTTATGCTTAGATTTAATAAATGAACAGTTGCACAGAAATATGCTTAGACAAACAGAATATAATCAATATCTTTAGATAAGCCCAAAAGGGCTTATCCGAGCCTGTTCAAATTCTTTTTTGCCTGTCTTCTCAGCATTCACTCTCCTTAATGTTGGGGGAGACCCTTTATGGAGAGAGGTCTTAAGATCTACTACCATGCAAGTTAGGAATGAGGGTTTTATAATTTATTATCATACAAGGTAGATACGATCATTTTTTTTTAATGCTAGTAATTTTTCACAGAATGGCAGACAAAAATGAGGAAAACATGTAAATTTAATAGCATGGTCAGATAAATTTGAGAACCAATGTTTTATATGGGTACAAGACAAGTTCCTTATCCTTAGACAAACTCAAAAAACGAAAAGAACATATTTATAAATTTGTTTACCTTAGTAAAGATGAGACCAGAGAATCAAATCTGCATTCTCATTTCTTTGTTACCTTTTCTCAGCTTCTTTGATCCTCTCTAAAGCAATTATAGATAAAATACTACTTAACGTGAATCTTCAAGTAAAGTCTTGTCACTATGAACTCTATGTCAGTCATGTAGTATCATTGCACTATTCCTCATCTATGGTACATTTACTTATCTGTGAGTCTGTATAAATAAATACATGGAAAAATAAATGCTTAAGAGTTAGGTGAAACACTCAGTTTTAATTTCATCATATTAACACAAAGGCATATGTTTTGAGTAATATCATGCTATATTTTTAGAAAATATAGTACTGTCACTTTATTTAGCAGTGAAATTCAGTTTTACATGTGCAGATTAACTTTGTTTCTTGCTTGACAGAACATTTGCAGGAATCATCCAGCTGTGAAGAATTCTAAAACAATTAGAAATCCTGCAGTAGAAATTTATAGACTTCAGAAAAGATTATTTCTTTTGGCTCTTCATATTCTAAAATATAGGATGTTATACTGAGAAAGAATAGAACTTAATCATATATATGTACACACATAAGCTATATTTTATAATTATTACTATTTTTAGTATTTATTTTGTATAGCTTACAAGCAAATGCTCATTCAGTGATGAGTGATAATGATTAAGAAAAGAAACAACTGAATTTGAATATCTCTACCAAGATGAAAATTGAGGAAATAAACCTGGTAGGGAAAATAATATAGTAATGAAAATTTGTTAAGTAGGTATGTAGCAGAGTATGCTACTACAGATTAGGCCACTATATCCATAAGGATGATTTTGACCTGAAGGCAAGAGAAAAAGATGGTGAAATATAAAATAGCTTGATTTCTACTAGCCTTTGTCTGCTTATATGTTAACTAGTGTCCTCACCTAAGCTGGCTTTCCCTTTGTAAGCTATGTACCTATTTATCTCAGGAGACATTTAAAATTTATTATGTTTATTGTTTTCACTGGATAGAATATAAACTTTCTGAGAACATAAATATTGTAGAATTGGTTTATCAATGCATCTAACCTAATATAACATTATAGATATCCAATAATTTTTCAGAATATGAATAAATGCCCCATTTCCAGAAATGTTTTCTTACAAGGATATCTTTTCAATTTTAAAGTTTTTTCCTTAGGAGAGTCACTACCAGATAAAAAATTATACTTTTAATTTTTTGCCTCTTTAGAAATTGTATATTGATTTCTTTCCAAGTTATAGACAAATGGAAAAGGAGAAAATATAAAACAACAATAGGACACCTAAACATTTAGATTCTAGGGTTTTGATCTACACAGGAAATAATCGGGATATTGAAAGTATTTTCAGATGTGATCAAATGTTTATTTTTTGAAGAGAAAACCAAATGGCTAAAATATTAGAGACAGATAAATATATAGATGCAAAAACAAGAAGCTGGATGATAGTGGCTTATACCTATAATCCTAGCTACTCAGGAAGCTGAATTCTGAAGACCCAGGCAAAAAAATTCCGAAAAGACATTCTCTGATTGACCGGCTAAAAAGCTTGAGTGAAGTTCTGTCCCAGGTAGTAGAACACCAGCTATAACTGACATAGCTAAGTGAGTATATGAGGCACTGAGTTCAAACCCTGGTACAATCACTAAAAAGCAAACAAAATAGGAAGAAGTGTGTGTAATTGGTTATTTTTTGAAATAAATCATAAATAAGATTTTAGAAAACTCATGAATGTGTCTTAACAGAAGCAGTGATTTCTCAAAATCAACATGGGTTCTTTTAGGGAAACTTTTACTTTATTCCATTACAGGGGCTTAAACTCAGGGCCTTGAACTGTTACTTGGCTTTCTTACTTATGGCTGGTGCTCTACTACTTGTGCCATACCTCTAGTTTGGTATTTGCTGGTTAATATGAAATGGAGCCTGGAAGGCTTCTCTTCTCAGAAGTCTGGCTGGCTTCAAATTATGATCCTCCAGGCCTCACCTCCTGAGTAGGTATGAGCCACTGGAATCTTGCCTTTAAGGGAAATTTTTACCAGAATTTTTTCATTACTTAGAATTGAACCCAGGGCCTTGCACTTTCTAGGACAGCACTTTATCACTGAGCCCTAATTTGTATGTGAGACTATGTATATGTATGTGAGTGTCTGTACTTGCACATAAGCTAGGAATTGAGTCTAAAGCCTTTTGTGTTCAGGATAAGGTCTCTACCACTAAGCCATTTCTTCAGACCACATTATTTCTTTTACACTAATAATAAATACAACATATATGAATTCCAATAAAGCATGGTTATCAAGTTTGTTTATATATAATAACAACATTGAAAGGGATGGAAAATATTTACAAGTATAAAGAATGAGAAATACTTTACCTTGTAAATCAAAATAGATAAACTGGGAAAATATAGTTATGCAAAAGACTATAGGGTAGTTCACTTGGTTGTAAAATGGCAGTTTCTCAAAATACAATGGGAAAAATATGAAGTTGAATAATAGAAATACTTTTACAAATTTTGCCCAATGTTATATGAGTTTATAGTATATGACAGAAAAAGCTCACATGATTTTACTTTGTAAAAAAGTAAAAAGAGAAAGAGAGATTATCAAAGTTTTCTCTATACCTACCTAAAATTTCACTAATTTCTTTTCAATAGTGTACTTGGAATGTGAAATTCATCCCTGGATATGATCCTTCATCATGAAAGCTAGAGCAAATTCAATTGTGCACAGGGGTGGTAAAGCATCTCATAAACATATAAATTAGTATTATATAGATTAACGTGGTAACAAGCAGCATATGACTATGTCAAATACTTAGAAGATTATCATGTGGAAAGGGACATGTTTACTTATATGTTCTTCTTTACCACAAGACTTATAATCTTCTTGCTTAAATTCTTCAGCATACCATGCATCTTACTTATTTTATTTCGTTTCCTATACCCCAATTCTGTGATTAAAAGTTGAAGGTAAGGTTTTTGTATTTTAATTCACTTTTTAATTCATCTGTTATACCTAGTACAACACAAAAATGGCATAAGAACACATTTTATTAAATGATAAATAGCCAGCCATAAAGAATGAAATTACAAAGAAAATCAGTAAAATCCTAAAGGCTTAAATTTTATTTTTGCTGAAGAGATGTGCTGGTAAAGCGGAACATCCTATGGTCTGGATTAGAAAGTAGTACATACTCATACCCATGAAGCGTTTTAACGTGTATGCTACCTGAATTGATACTTGGTATATAAACTACAGAAGAGATAGTAATAGGGATTTGATGCTAGATATCTATTTTCTGGATAAGATTCTAGAATTTGGTAAAAGATATTTAAATTAATGTTTTCTTTGCAAAGTACACATAACAGTACTTGGATTTTTCATTTCTTCATCCTCTCCCCCTTTTTAAAGCAGCGATTCAGAAACACAGACCTCTCAAAATTTGGGAACAATTATTGTGGAAACATCACAGAAAATAGGCCCTGCAGGAAATGGAAGAGACCAGAAAGAAGGTGATCAAACAGAAGACATTCAAACTCAAGGAAATGAAGTAGTACAAACATATTCAAATGTAGATGATAAGCCCTCAAAGGTAGATGATAAGCCCTCAAAGGTACATGAAATCGTTTTGCTTAATTGTAAGCTATCTTATTAATTTTATGACATAACATAAATCACTGAATTTTGTCCATTTTTAGATAGGAATCCTTAAAAATTGTCTTCCTTGAAGTATACAGTGAAAATACTTATCCAAAAAGAATTTTGAAGTACTATTTTGCTATAATATATTAATAGATAAAATGAAAATTAATACTCATAAATCTTAAGGTAGTTTTATGTCTTAGCAAGAAAATGAATTAAACTTAATAACTTAATAATTAGGTTATTATTGGTTTTAGGTATAGTGAATACAACATGAAAAAGTTCTGCTTTTGTATGTAATTATGTAGTCATTTATTCATTTATTATATATTGATGATAAATAAGAAGATATTATAGAAATTTTGAGGTTATTCAGGAGATTTATAATTTCTAAGCCAGTCTAGTGACTCTCTGTCTCAAAAAACTTACCATTTTTCTATATATTATTTGGTTGTGAATTCTCTTTAGTCACTTATAGGCAGCTTAATGAGTTCATAAATAACTCACAACCTCAGCTTTCTTATGGAGTATAGTTTGATTAAGTATAAGTCAAATGTGCACAAGGTACATGTAGTTAAAGCCCTAGATTTTTTCTTCTATTCAATGAGTGTATTTAGCTGTATAGTGCTGTCTCATTATTATTATTTTATAGTAGCCAACATAGCTGATAGAACAAATACTACAGCCTATTCTTTCAAAAGTTTATTCATTATTGTTGATCTGTTACTCTTAGAATCAGGTTAGGTTCAATAAAAAATATATTTTTCAAATTTTGGTGCCATATTCATGTATGTTGATATAAAACAATTACAGAAGTTGTAGAGGAGTTAGCAAGCCAGCTAGGAACCTTTAGACTTGAGGAATAGTGAGCTTTCTGGGTTTTCATTTTGCTTCAATTAAACCCTTAAATCCTTTCTACCCAAAGGATAGGGAAGTCCAGGTAGTATAATGGAAAATGTGACACCATAAATTCCCTATTCCAGACGAACACCACTCCTGTGCTCGTCAGTAAAGACCTACTGGGAACCTAGAGTTTTTTTTTCACCTGAGTATTGAGAAGCATTCTCACTTTTCTTCCTTCCATCATAGTAGTAGTGCTAATACCAAGAGGGGATATTCAATGGTAATACTCCCCTCTCTACTTTTCAGTGGAGACTACAAAGGGATTTGGGGCATCCAGAAGTGAAGAGGTACTTTTTGTATTTCCAGCAATTTGATTTTATGGGATAAGAACAGAGTTAGGGACTTTTATTACTGCATACTTCATAAGGCCCCAACTCTCTCCCCACATTGTCAATGGAAGCCTAGTGGGAAGCATTAACAAGTCCCTCCCTGAATATCTCAGCCACAGCAGAATAAGCCAAAGCCTACTAGAGAACCTGAAGTTCTATGTCCACCAAGCAATATGAAGGTACCGATCTCCAGCTATAGTATTAACAGTCTGGATTCCTGCCAATTGGCATAAGTAGATAATATGTCTCTTGTGCCATAAAAAGCCTACTCAAACAAGATATGAAAAGTATACAGAAACTTGACAGAACCCAAAATGTTCAGGATACAGTTGAAAATCAGGAAAACTACAACTTATTTGAGGAAAGACAACTAACAGAAACCAAAAGTAAAATAACAGATGATGAAACTGTATGATAAGCATTTTAAAGTAACTATCATAAAAATGCTTCAAGCATCAAATGTGAAAAAGCTTATAATACGAAAAATAAAGTATCTTTTTTAGTTTTTATTTTTTATTATTATAGAGGTGATGTACAAAGGGATTACAGTTACAAAAATCAAGTAATGAGTACATTTCTTTTAAGACAGTGCCACCCCTTCCCTTGCTCAATAAAACATCTTGTACAAAATATCTCAGCAAAGTAATAAAAGAAATGAAGTCTCAAATTAGAATTATAGAACCAAAATATAACTTTTGTTATATTTTAGCCCAATAAAGATTGACATAAATCCTATCACTAAAATTGGTTTATATGTCAAAACTCATATCACCAAAATTAGTTAAAATGTCAAAACTGGTAGTACCAGTAGAGGTAGGAAAGCTTTATATTCACATAATAGAATATAGGGGCTACAAATTATTCAACATAAATGTGAATTACTGGTATTTGATAAAGACATAAGAGCAATTCAATAAAGGGTATTCTTTTTTTTTTTTTTTGATAGTGGTGCTAGAAGAATTGGTTATCCCCAGATAAAACCATGAACATAATCTAAGCCATTCCTAGAATACAGATTAACTTGAGATGGGTCACTGATAAAAAAAACTTTATATTATAAAAAAATTTAAATGTAAGAGGTAAAACTATACAATGTAGGGCTCAGTGAGGAGTATTTAGTAATAATATAAAGTATTCACAGAGGACATCAATAAGTTTGAGCAAATCAAAATTAACTAATAAGTTTTTCTGAGCATGGTGGTATACCTAATTCCTTCTACTGAGAAAGTGGAGGTAGGAGGATTATACTCCAAAGCTAGCTGGCTCATACCATTAATCTCTATCTGAAAAGTAAACTGAGAGGTAAAAGGATTGAGGGGCTAACACCTCTGGATGGGTGCTTATCTAGCAAGTGTTAGACCTTGAGTTTGAACTCAGTACTCCCAGTGTAAAGTAAAACAGGAATAAAGCCAAAACAACGGTTGCTTTGCAAAAGGCCTAATTTACAGCATGAAAAGACTAGTTAGATTAGGAAAATATTCATAAACCAATTATCTGGCAAAGGACTCACATATTGAATAAATAAAAGCATACTAAAAATAGCAACCAGTCCAATTAGAAAACGTGTAAAAGACATAAATCTTTTGCTAAGAAGGATATATTGATGGCAAATATAGAGATGTTCAGCATATTAGTCATTGTGGAAACACAAATCAGTACAACAATGAGATATCTTTTTTGCCACAGTTAGAATGGCTATTATAAAAAAGGTAAAATATAGCTTTGCACTAGTGGTTCATGCCTATATTCATAGCTTCTTAGGAGACTCAGATCTGAGATTTCATTGTTTGAAGCCAACTAGAAAGAAAAGTGCATGAGACTCTTATCTCCAGTTAACCACCAAAAAGCCAGAAATGGAGTTATGACTGAAGAACCAGTCAAGCAAAAAGCTAAGTAAGAGCATGGCACCCCAAGTTCAAGCTTGTGACTGGCATAAAAAAATATACATGTAAATAAAACAAATATTGGTTGGAGAAAGTGAAAGTTGTATATCCTGTTGAAGGGAATGTAGATTAATCAGCTATTATGGAAAAGAGTATGGAGGTTCCCTAAAAAACTAAAAAAAAATAGATGTGATCCAAATATTCTGCTATCTAGCTATATAAGCAAAGAAGATAAAATTAGTATATCGTAGAGATATCTGCATTCCCATGTATATTTGCCCATATTGATTTCAGCATTGTAAATAGTAACCAAGATAGAGAATCAACCAAATTGTGCATCAGTGAATGAAGAAAATGTGATTTTATATATATATACATATATATATATATATATATGTATATATATATGGAATATTACTTGGCAATAAAAAAAAGGATATTGTGTTACCTGTGGCATAAAAGATATAAATGAAGAACATGTTAATAAAAGAATCAAGAATCCAGGCACAAAAACAAATATTTCATGTTCTTATTGATATGACCTCTTACTATAAAAATGATTTCAGAGTGCTAGGGACTAGTGGCTTACATCAGTAATCCTTGTTACTCAAGAGATTGAGATCTTAGTATTGCTATTTGAAGCCAGCCCGGGCAGGAAAGTTCAAGAGACTATCTCTAATAAACTACCCTTAATCAAAAGAAGCTCAGGGGACAGTGGCCAGGCCCTGAGTTCAAGCCCCAGTACTGGGAAACACACAAAATGATTTCCTAGAAATAGAATAGTGATTACTGGAAGTGAGGAAGAGAAAGGACAAGAGAGATAGAGGTAACACAAAGAAATATGAAAGCTTACAGTATAGAAAATAGTTAATTATCCTGATTTGATCCTTATGCATTGTATAAATATATAAATATTTGCATATACCTATAAATATGTGTAATTATTATTTGTCAATTAAAGTTTTTTAAAGAATGGTAAAATAGGCACATGAAAAGACTGTCAACATTACTGGCCTCCAGGGAAATGCAGATTAAAACTATTATTAGAAATGTATACTAGGACAGCTCAAATAAAATTTAATGATAATATCAAATGCTGATAAGAAATAGACATTGGTGGTATGGATATAAAATCATTCAATACAATGCTCTTAAAAACAGTTTTTAAAAAAAATTGATTGTTACATCATTTAGTAAGTTTTTAGAGTATTTCTAAAGGCCAGTTTGGTATCCTGGACCTTGTTGTAATGATGATATTTCTAATTCTCTATTTTAAAAATATCATTGTACAAAGGAGTTGCCATTCAACAAAGCAGTTTATGAACACAATGGGTCTTGATCAATGTAACCCTTTTCAAGATTCTCACCTGCCCCTCCCAAGGTAGCCCTCCCCTCACTTTTCTCAATTTTGTAGGATATCCATTGAATTCTTGACTGCATTTTCTCCTACTTCTTCTCGTCATTCATCCAAAAAATATGGAACATTTCATGAATTTGCATGTCATCTTTGTGCAGGGGCCATGCTAATCTTCTTTCATTCTGATGTTAGTATATGTGCTACCAAAGCAAGTACTTGACAGTTCTTAAAGAACTAAGCCTACCGTAAAGTCTAGATGTTATATTTTTAGATACATATCCCACAGAAATAACAATTTATGCTTATCAGAAAAACCTAGAGCTGAGAATCTATATAATTTTGAGGCATGCTTTATTGTTTTTTATTGTAAAGATACTATACAGAGGGTTGAGGCATGCTTTAGCATGAAAAAATATTTGGATTCAATGGCAGTATCAGAAAAATAAATAATTTGTTAAATAAAATCCACCTGTACATGATTAATGGTCAGTCATACTACATTTAGAATGGCTGAACACAGGAATTGACAATTCTTTCAGTAGCTGAAAAGTTACAGTATGGCATATCCATTTGCCAAGCAAAATACAATTTTTTTTTTTTTAGTCCAGTTGTGGGGCCTGAACTCTGGGCCTGGGCACTGTCCCTCAGCTGTTCAGCTCAAGGCTAGCGCTCTACCACTTGAGCCACAGCACCACTTCCGGCATTTTTCTTTTTGCTTATGTGGTGCTCAGGAATCGAACCCAGGGCCTCATGCATGCAAGGCAAGCACTCTATCACTGAACCACCTTCTCAGCCCCACAAATTTTTTTATGAAAGGAAATGAAACAAGCTGTGGATAAACAGTATCCTAGATTTCCCATCTTGAGCCATAAGTTAGGCTGTTTTCTGTCTTGTGATTTCTGTGTTCCTATTTAAGAAGAAATGTAAGATCCAAGGGGTTGTCACACATTTAACTCTGAGTTCCTGCTTTTATTTTGGCTTGGATTAGTTAATATTTTACCATGTTAAAATGATAGTTTAAGGGTATTTGTTTCATAGTAAGCATGTTTCTCTAGTTTATATTTCAGCAATAGTATGTAAACAGAGTTGTAAACAGGTCCAATTAATTGTATACAGAATCGGTAACTAATACTGGTCATTCTGTTTTGAATATTTTTCAGTGTTTGGTATGTAATTGGCAAAGTGTAATTGAATCTTAGCAATGAAATGTTAAGCAGGCATACACACATATGCCTATACATATATGCATACATATTTGTGTTTATACTGGGGTCTAGATGCTGTTCCTTTTTCACTCAAGGCTAAGCACTCTACCACTTGAGTCACACCTCAACTTTCAGCATTTTATTGGTTATAGAAATGAGTCTCATGTACTATCCTGCTTAGGTTAACTTTAAACGTAGATCTTCATATCTATGCCTCCTGAGTAACTAGGATTATAGGCGTGAACTATTGGTGCCTGATTAAAAAGATATATTTTATGTTTGCTGGTTCTGAGGACAAATTCTAATAAGGTGTTTAAAAAATACAATGAGAAATAAAACATTATTAGGATTCTGTAATATCTGAAAGTTAAAGTGAATTCCTATCTTACACTTTAGGATTATGACATACATAATATAGCATAGGATTATGACATATATACTGTAGTATAATGTATGCATTTATCAACAAAGTATGCAATTTACTTTTGGTGTAACAGTAAGTCAAATTTATTTCCTCCATCTGTTTTTACTATAATTACATTTTTGTTCCTGAATTAGGATCTTTGAAAAAGTTCTACTTACGGAAATATGTTCCTATTTCCCACACCAATAAATTCTTGAGAGCACATATTTTGTTCCTGTAATTTACAATGTTTTTTGAATATTTCTCTGTTTAAAATTTTGCTTTGTGGAAGCATGTTTCCATCAGTAAAATATTTTTGAAATAGTCACCATGATGACTTCATTTTATTTATCTATGTGTTGAAATGCCACAAGGGTAACATGTGACATAGGACAAAGTTTCTTTTTCTTAGCTTTACTTGCCATTAGCCTCACATGTTTATGTATTTGAGAAATAATATTACCTACATTTCCAGATGATGTTATTAAATATTTTTATTTTACTTTAGCTGCTACTTCATGTACTCCTAGGATTAAAACTGTCTCTAGATTAAATTTTTAAAAGTTGATTTTGTGCCTATGTCTTCTGCCTATCTTAAAATCTATTAAAATAAATAAATTTAAATTTATTTGTGACTTTTGTAACAGGGTTGGAACTCAGGGCCTCAAGCTTGTTAGTACAAGTATTCTACCTCTTAAACCACAACTACAACCCTATATGAATATCTTTTTTGTAAAAAGTTATTATATTAGTTCATTTGATATTATCATTGAATAATAACCAACTTTTTGGGGAACTTTTAAATTTAGGATTTTTTACATTACAAGAAAACCAAGAAATCAACTTTTCAAAAGAAAAATGGTAGTATGCAAAGGAGTTCACATACAATTGTTCCTACCAGAGGTAAGAATACAATCTCAAAATTAATGCTATGTCTTTTAATATTTAATCTTATTTTAAAAATATTTTGAACATTATTTTTATTTAGTTAACAGAGATAAGTCTAAAAATATTACTGCCCAGAAATCAAGTAGCAGTTTAATCTTTTTACGAGAACGGATTATATCCTTGCAACAACAAAACAATGTACTTCAGAATGCCAAAAAAGCAGCAGAATTGTCTGTGAAAGAATACAAAGAAGTCAATGAAAAGCTCCTCCATCAACAGCAACTATCTGATCAACGATTTCAAACAAGCAGACAGACAATAAAGGTAAAAGAAACTTTAAATTATAGTACACTGTGTTTATTTGTGGACATTTGATTTTACATGAGCTATTTAGTTCAAATTGTGTTCAACATGTTTTGATCTAAAAAGTAAGTCTTAGGTGCTACTCTAGATTTGGATAATATTACTTCATTAGTACTTTGAGTTACTAGATCTCTTTAATAAAGTGCATATTAAGAGATAAATCTAGGAGAAGGAGTTCAAAAGACTTTACCAGCATTTTATTTCATTTTTTAAAGCATTGTGTTCCATGTTTTTAATATTTAATTGTGAAAAGTAGGTTTTATAAGTGAATTTAGCTTAGTCCTTTGTGCATGTCTGTAATTTTGTTTATGATTATTAATTACATTATTAAACTAATTTATTCTTTACAAATACTAGCATAAAATATGAAGCTTTTATTATGAATATCTTTTTTGTGTGTTCTGGTATGGAGGATTGAACTTACAGCCTTGTGCTCTTGCTCAGTTTTTTCACTCCAGTGGTGCTCTGCAATTTAATCCATGCTTCCAGTCCAGCTCTTTTGCTAATTAATTGGAGATAGTTTCACAGACTTTTCTGCTATACTCTTCAGATCTGTCTCCTGAAAGCTTGGATTATAGGCGTGAACCACTGGTGCCCAGCTACAAACATCAATCTTAATATGTAATAATAAACTACTGTCTTTTAACTGTTGATTTGAGTGTTCTTTGATAATTTTAGACACATTATAATATAATCTTACCTATTAAAAGAAAATGAAAAAGGAAAGATTGTTTCTCCATTCTTTCTTAGTATGAAGTTCCTTAGCTATATACATTATAAGGAAAAGGAAAATTGTATGCCAGGGATTTAAGTAGAAATCTGAATAAGACATATATTTTATTTTTAAATTCTTAACAATTGTACTTCTTTTTCTGACAACAAAATCCACATTTGTATCAGAGATACTGATAGTAATAAAGTAATAATTGTGTATTATAATATATTCTTTGATTAATACATGGTTCATGAGCATTTTAGAGAGTATATGATATAAATGATCCAATGAGTTGCTCTTAGAGGCATTTCTTCCTGAATGCAATGTAGAAAGCTACCCTCCCTGCCAACATTAAGTTTTAGCTGTTTCAGACCTCATCTAATACAAGGTGAATGTCATATATTTACCATAACACCACAGTTTTATAATTTATATTTAATTATATTTATGATTTATTTTTAATTATTGCTCTTATAATGTGTAGGTTATTACAACTTACAACTTAAATGTAATTATACTTTTAATACATATTATTTTTAGATATTAGAAAGGTTCAGGTTCAATACCATCTAATTAAGGAAGTATTCTGGAAAGGATAGGAGTAAAAATTTGTGCACTTCCTATAGTCATACTGATTCCTGAGCCTGACATCTGGAAGATGATGATTTGAGGCCATTCTAGGCAAAAGTATTCACTAGATTTCATCCCCACAATAGCCATCATAAAGGTCAGGATAGAGATTTGGTGCCAGTAGTAGAGCACAAACCTAAAAGGATGAGGCCCTCTGTTCAAACCTAGGTAATAACAAAAAATATTTAGAGATTTATTAATGCATAAATGGCTAATGAACTCAAATATAGTTAGTGAGGAACTCAAGTGAGATTTCAATTGTACATTTTATACTGTGGGGTTACCGAGATGGTAACCAAACTTAAAAGTCTCTACTAACAAAGTAACCTCTTGTGCAAGGTTATATGGATAAGCACAGATTTCTTTAGTCAGTGCTTTAGTTTTCGATTTTCTGTTGGCTTCTTATGATAACTTTGCAAAAAGTATTGTCCCTTATGTTATGTCATATAAATAGGATAAAATAATAAATTAAATAAAAAGAATAAAAGTGAGTATTTAAATAAGTAGTCCAAGGTTCCTAAATCCTTCTATATCTCTAAGGTGGCATTTTATACAACTTTGAGTTTAATAGTCTCTGTGTGTGTGTGTGTGTGTGTGTGTGTGTGTGTGTGTGTGTGTGTGTGTGTGTGTGTGTGTGTGTGTGTGTGTGTGTGTGTGTGTGTGTGTGTGTGTGTGTGTGTGTGTGTGTGTGTGTGTGTGTGTACCCAGTACTATGCCTTGAACTCTACACTTTACACTGCTAGATTTTCTTGCTTGTGGCTGACACTCCTATCCTTGAGCAGCACTTCCAGCTTTGTGTTTTGTTGGTTAATTGGAGGTGTAGTTTCTTGGACTTCTTTGCCTGAATTGTCTTCAAACTGCAATCGTTCAGCTATCATTCTTCCAGTTAGCTAGGGTTACAAGTCTGAGCCACCAATGCTTGGTTTCTGAACTTAACATTTTTTTTAAAAAAATCTGTTGCTTCTAATAGATAATAGGCTTATGAATAAAAAAGTCATATATCAGTCGGGTGCCAATGGCTCTTGCCTGTAATCCTAACTACTCAGGAGGCTGAGATCCGAGTATCATGGTTCAAAGCCACCTCCGGTAAGAAAGTCCGTGATACTGTTATCTACAATTAACCCCTAGAAAACCAGAAATGGCGTTGCGGGTTCAAGTGGTAGAGTGCTCACCTTGAGCTGAAGAGCCCAGGGACAGTGCCCACCAGGCTGAGTTCAAGCCCCATGATCAACAACAACAACAAAAAATCATATATCAAATTTTTGATAATTTTCAGATGCTAGCATAATTGAGATCATAGTATAATTTTCATTACATGGAAAAAGATTGAGTTACTGACTAGTTTCATTCACAATAAGGAATTGAACCTATCAATATCATCTCAGGAGCTCAATAAAAATTGGCAAATCCTTTCATAGGTTATATAGTGTCCTAAATATATTGGAGCTTTGGACTTAATGTAAAGGTTAGTAGCCTTGTGGTGGTGTACTTTCAAGGAGATTGAAAAATATCATTTCCTGTTGGTCATAGACTGAAAGTCTTATGCCATTTATTTATATTACTTTTCTAGTACTCAGAGGATTTTAATTTCTGAATCTTGACTTGCACAATGGCCTTATATATTTCCAAAGGAAGAAGGTTATCTTTTTAGTCTCAGAAATAATACACTTCTCTACGTTAATAATATGATAATCTTATCGAGCTACAATTGTTGTTTCCAGAAGGGAGAATGACAATATTTCTAAAATTTATAGTAGAGATGATTTATAAGCAGTATTGTAGAGAACTAGACTTTTACCCAAGATTATTCTTGCCAAGTAGCCTTTTGTCTTCTTCATGTTAAGTGCTTGGCAACACATAGAATGTCAGAATGATCCCAAGACTCAAATATAATCTTTGAACATAAATTTTATAAACATACACCGTTGTTTATTTTGTGATTAGATACCAGTGTCTGATTTCTTCATGAATTCTTGACTCCTCTACTCTTTTGAGTCACATACAGTTTTGGAGCAACCTGTTTTGTTCTCAGAAACATTTTTGGAAAAACCATCTGAAATGTAAAACAGTTTTTCTTTTATAGACTTTGATTTTTCAAGTTTGTTTCATCTTTTGTCCAACTATTTTAGCCAATTAATCTCAAATTATGTCAGTGAAATTCTAAATCAAAGACTTTGACTAAGTGGAAGAATTGTGAATTAAGTACTACAGAGCATACTCTATTCAACAATTGCCTTAAGGTTTTAGATTAATCTAGTGCAAAAACAAAACTGGCTTTTTAGTTCATTTCTTTTAACCTTTTAATTCTACAAGGGTCATGTTTTATTTATTTATTTATGTATTCATTATTAAGTTCTTGTACAAAGAAGTTACAATTCCACAAGCCAGGTTATGCGTGCAAAGCTTCTTGATCAATGTCACCCCTCCAATTGTCCTCTTTTTTTCTCTCTCTCCTGGCCCTCTCCTCAAGTTATGTAGCTCATTTTTTATATAATGTATATTGAATACAGTGACTGCATTTACTCATCTTTCCTTCCTCCATTCTCATGCCCTCCTTTTTCCCTCCCTCCAAACATATTTCCAATTTAAAAGGGTCATATTAATCTGCATAATAAGTTTCATATATTTAGACTTATATGATTGCTTTGTATCCTAAAATGGTAGTTGTGTTTGGTTAATAAGTGTGTTTAACTGTATTGGAGCCACATTTTTCTGTCTGGAATTACAGAATCTTAAACAGCCTCGTTTCCATTTTGTGATCTGTGTAACACATTTCTAGTAATGACAAAGTAGAAAACCATTCTTATTCTTCATTGCTAGTCTCCAAAGTTTTCTTTTACCTTCCCCCAATAGTTTGTATAGTACACAATCCTTGTAGGGTATTCAGTTTATATATGTCAGATTCTCTAGGGCCATGGCTTTTGCCAGATGAAGCACTTTTGATTTTGAAGCTGATGAAACACAGTGCGATTATTGATCTGTGCATGACATAGCCTGTCTCTCTCCTGGCAGAGTGTAGCAACATTTATCCAGGAATTTGTGAAATGTCACTCGGATCATGTTCGCAAGGTAAACTGTGCAAAATCCAGGATCTGAGCTGAGAATCCATGTGGAATTAGACGTGACTGTCTTATTTCTACATCTGATCTTCTAGATGAACCAAGTGATATTTGTTAACAGAATGTCTCGGTCCTATATTACACTTTGTTAGGAAATATTATTATTACGTAGAGCACTGGGTACTAGAATATCATACTTCTTAAATCAGATTCACTTCTATTTCCAGATTTACTTCTAATCTTACTGTAGAAAATATTAAGAAGAAAATACAGCCTAAATAGAAACCACTTTTCTGTTTATAATAAAGTCTTATATTTCAGTAATATTTTATTCTTTGTATCAATATACATTCAAGCAGGTATTCTCATTAAAATGTGTCCGGAAGTGACAAATTATTAACATTTTTCTCACTATTAAATTCTAATATTTAACTTTAACATTTCATGGTTTAGTTTTAAATGGCGAGGATGTTTGTTTATACATGAATAGATGTGTTTATATTTGTTACAGTTCATATTAGTTTAATCTAAAATACTGTAATAATGAATATTCAGTG